ATTCTGAAGACAGGGCAAGGTTCAAGGTTGTCTTCCACGCCCCAAACCTCCTTCTCCCCTTCGGAGCCCCCTTTCCTTAATGTGACTAGTCAGATGCTGTGCTGCTCCTGCCAAAGCCGATTTCTGGGCAACATTATGAATCTGAGTCATTAGCACCAGAGTGTAAATAAGTTTACATGAGTCAGTTGGTGTTTTTATATCTTAATTTGGCACTAAACTGCTCTCTATTGTTAGGGCATCTGGGCAGGTATAGGAGGAATTTGGAGAGTTTGGGGAAGGTTCTTTACCTCTAAAATAATACCGAAGCTATGACTAGGAACTCAGGCGATAGTCCCAGGTCATAAATAAGAGTTTTTAAAAAATGCATGTAGCCCCTTTTGCACTCTGTCAGAATATTGGATGCTTTTAGACGTGCTGGATAAGCTTAAACATAATTCTGAGTCGTTGGTAAGGGGATTCGTGTTCTTTTTATAAATGTTACGAAATTTTATGAAATGAATTTCTCTGGTATTTGAAAGAGCTTGCCAGAGACAAGCCATGGAGGTTTTTATAGGTCCTGCAGCAAGGACCCTGGGTTCATGGAGGTGATTTGCGCTTTGGGGGTCTTGGGAGGTGTGGGAGTCCTGGAGTCATTCCCCCGGTGCTGAAGCAGCTGTGGGTAGCCAAGATGGTGTGGTTAGAAGCTCTAAGTGTCTCCTGAGTTATGAGAGTCGTTTGCTAATGCAATGTCAGGATCAGGCTGCTTCAGGCCTGAAGTCTGTGATCTCTGTGATACAATAAGAAATAGTTATTTGGTGTTTGTCTCAAGTTCCCGCCACAGAGCTTCTGGAACCCTAGGAATTTCCTGAGTAATGGGAGTGTCTTTTGTTATTCATAACAAGCCTCTTTTAACCACACCTGAGCTTATGCTAATCTGGTGACTCTGGGCCCCTGGATAGCTTTGGGACGGGGCTGGTTGCCGGAGGAACCAACCATGTGATTAGAGATTTGGACCTTTCAGCCCCACCCCAGGCCTCTGGGAGCAGAGAGGGGCTGAAGATGGAGTTAATCTCCAAGGCCAGTGTTTAATCAGCAGTGCCAATGTAATGAAGCCCCCATTAAAACTCCATAAAAACTCCTCTAAGTGATGGGGTTCTGAGAACTTCTGGGTCAGTGAACAGCTGAGGTGCTGGAGGGTGGGGAACCCTGAGGGCATGGAAGCCCTACACACCTCAAACCAACCCCTCCCCGCCCCAAGCTCTGCATCTCTTCCCCTTGGCTGCTGTTCCCAAATTGTATCCTCTAAAATAAACTGCTCATAGTCGTGTTTCTCCAAGTTTTGTGAGCTGTTCTAACAAATTATCGAACTTGAGGAGGGGATCGTGAGGACCCCCAATTTATAGCCAGTTGGTCAGAAGGGCAAGCAGCCTGGGGCTTGTGGCCGGCGTGTGAAGCCAGAGCAGTCCTGTGGACAGAGCCCTTGACCTGTGGGGTCTGTCTGCCCAAGCTCCAGGTAGTTGGTGTCAGAACTGGTTATTGGTGTGCAAAAAAGCCAGTGTTGGTGTCAGGAGCGTTGTGAATAAAAAAATCTCTCATCCCTCAACCCAAGGGCAAGTTTATCTCCAGACACAAGGAAGTGGACCACGGTGTGGGAGAAGGTGCCTCGTTCTGTGCCTTCCAGTGGTTAATAATGACCTCAGACCAGGGAAAAGGGGGCCAAAATGCTAAGAGCCATCCTTCCCACGCCCAGGAAAGTAGCATCCCGATGGTAGCCATGATCTTCCAAGGAGGCTCCGATTAACTTCGCGAAACCCTGTGAGGTGGGACCCGCATCCTCGGTGGGGAAGCCCACCGGGACCTGCAGCCCCAACAGCCTGTTTCCTGGGGCGCATTACCTGCCTGGTGGTGGTGACTCAGGCTTTTTGGAAAACCAGCTTGCATCCTCGGCAGCTGGGCGCAGCTCACCCCGTGACCTGGGAACTTGGCATCAGTGGAGCGCGCTCTGAGGTTGGGGCGGAGGAGGCCTCCCGCGCATGTGTGGCCACAACTTCCCTAGAGGGGCAAGCAAGTCTCGAGCCCGTTTCTGCCTGTTGAGGCCTGTCATGCTAGGACGCCGCTTTGGTCTGCAGACCTCATTTTCCAACTGGCCAGGCCTCAGAGAGGACTGGTTTCCACCATTGGTGCATGGGCCCGGCCGGAGCCCGGGTGAAGCAACTCAGAACCTGTTGCTGGGGTCGCTCTCTGCCCTCGTCCACCTGTGCGGATCTCACCCTAGTCTGAAGCGTGCACCCGGCCCGGCGGTGGGGGGCTGCTCTTGAGGACTTGGGGGGTATGGGTCGTCTTCGTCTCAGTTTATTTCTCCCAGGAACGACAAGGCCCTCCGCTGACCGCAGTGAAATGAGAGAAGTCGGGGAGAGAAGCTTCTCTGGGCTTACTCCCTGCCCCCCCAACCTGGTGCCCTTTCCTCCTTGGGTCTCTTCAGAGACTTCACCCTCACTTTGCAGGCCTGGCCCAGCTCCGTTGCCACCGTCTCTCACCCTCTCCTTCCCCCAGGCAGCATTAATTTTCCCTTCCTTAGGTCCCATGGCATCTTTCCGAATTCATCACAGGGCTGCCTTTTTTGTTGAGGCCCAGTTCACGATCTGTGAGTTTTGACAATTACATGTTTGTCAAACACATACGGTCACGTAACCACCACCATAAGCAAGGCACAGAATGGAACTGCCTCTCCCAATTTCTGGAGACTCTCAGAGTCAAGCCCTCCCCTTCACCCCCAGGCCCTGGCAACTACCCAGGGGATCTCTCTTCCCACGTCTTGCCTTTGCAGGAATAGCCTGCAAATGGAATCATCAAGTATATAGCCTTTCAGGCTGGCTGTTTTCACTCTGCAGAAAGCATTTCTTGCATGTATCCGCGGCTCAGCCCTTTTCGTGGCTGAGTACCCATCACTTTTTATTCATATCTCTGTATGGACCTCTCCTGCCGTGTCCAGATATCTGGATATTTTTCTGTCTTTCTCCTTGGCGCACAGCTCAGCTCCTCCAGGGCCGGACGGTGCCTTGCGTGCCTCTGTGTCCCCAGCCGGCACATAGTAGGCGCTTGACAGTGTGGTTCTGGGGCAGCTGTGCATTGACAGCGAGGACCCTCTACCTCTCCGGAAGGGGCAGAGTGTCCTCCGGGGCCGCAGAGCCCCTGCAGATGTCTCTGTAGGGCCCTGGCTGGTCCCTGCTTAGGCTCTGTGCTTAGGTGACCTGGAGAGATGCCCAGGGATGGGCCGGCTGGCTTCTCGAAAACCACTCCCACCCTCGGTTTGGTACCTGTGATGGGCAGGGTGCTGTCCCTTGTGAGGGGCCTTTGGAAGGCTCTCTGTGGATCCCCTGCATCTCTTGGACTCCATGTCAGGAATTACTGGGAGGGTGGTATCGGCGTGTGCCTGTCATTCCCCCTAAGCCAGAGGAGCCCTCTTTGGGCCTTGTTCGCACCGAGTCATTGCTGTGCTGGTTTTGTTAGTTAAAAATAGGCCTTGGCATATCTGCCCAGTGACAGGCCCTTCCCACTTCTGGCCCACGCTGGAATGCTTATGTAAATATTTGGAGGAACTTGACACCTGGGACCATTTCTATCCCAGAGTCTTCTCTCCTGTGGACTCTTGGAGCAGGAAGGGTGATATGGCTGTGAGAAAGTGAGGGCCAGCACATGTTAGAAACACTCGGGGTGGCGGCACATTATTTGGGAGACGCTGGAGGGGGCGGTTCCTAGAAGCCAGGGGAAGTGGTTGGTCATTTGCAATAGTGGCGGATCTATATCAGCTACAAGATCCACAGGGTTTGAATCAGACTGACCAGGGTTCAAACCACGATTCTACTCCTTCCTGGCCCATGGCCTTAGACAAGTCATGGGACTTCTAGAACAGCAGGTTCTCCTTTGCACTTTACCTACCACACTAGGATGATTGTGAGATTAAAATGATCACATGTGTCAAGCACCTAACAGGGCCCAGCACCCAGCACACAGTAAGCCCTCATTTCGTGGTGGCCCCCCAACGGCCACCTTAGTCTTCCTGTCGGCTTTTGCCAGCAAGCATTGCGCAACCTCGCAGTGGACATCTGAGGAAAGAATTGGAGGTTCTAAAGGAGGGACACAAGAGCGTCCCAGTGCATATGCAGACTTCTTCCCAGTGCCACTCATGTCTCCTCACCTCCATTGGTCTTCAGCCACTACTGTGTCCTTAGATCACTTCAGCAGCTGCCCGAGCCGGGCCGGTAACTCAGGACTCACCAGCTACAAGAGGACCGTAACCAAGCTTAAAATAGAGACGTGTCCCTAGACTGGACCTGAGGGCTGCGCCGGCCCCCAGTGCAGGCCAGGCGGTGTCTGCACAGCCAGGCTGAGCTGGACTTTGGGCAGCTGGAGCTGCTGAGCCCCTACGAGGGAGCTGCTTCCCCCACCAGGCAAGGCTGGCTTTCCTTGATCCCGAAGCCCCAAGGGTCCTCAGCCTCCCGCCTCCCCCGCCACCCGGCCGGAGGTTACTGACTGCTCCTCGGAGGAAGCAAGCCGGGGGAGGGCATGGGGCCAGGCGTGGGGGGGACAGGGGTCTGGTGGTGGCCAGCGTCCGCCGGCTCGGCGGGCCCTCTGTCGGTTGGGCTGGGCTGGTTCTGGCCTTGGTGAACGGGGGTGAGGGGAGCCCCCGGGAGGCGTTTCTAAAGGTAGAAGGAGAGTGAAGCCATCCTGCCCAAGAGGGTAGAAGAGGAGGGAGGCTCAGAAGGAATGGGTCATGCTGTTCCGTTGAGCTTGCTGCTTTTTAAGCCCCAGCCCAGGTCATTGTGTCTAAATATAGGCGCGTCAGAAGCCAGCCAGAGAAATGCCCACCGAGCAAGGCCCCTGCGGAAGGTCCAGCCCTGCCCATTGAGGGAAGATGCCCAGATGGGGCGATGTTGTGCCCAGGGCAGCACTCCTCTCCCGCTGTCTTCACGGGGCGTCCGTGACTGCTTCCTCCACGGCCTCCCTCTCCCCTTGTGCAGGTGCTGCCATGGAGTCTGATCTGTGCTGACCGGACCCAGGCAAGAGGTGCACAGCCCAGAGAGGCGGCCTGCAGCCAGTCGCCATGGCATCCCCCATGGCAGAGAGCCAGCTGCAGAGAATCATCCGTGATTTGCAAGGTGCGTTGGTTGGGCAGGGGGAGGCACGTGGGGCTCGGCTGGGGGGCGGGGAGCTGGGGCTGTGCTCCTGCTGTCACTCTCTCGTGCTTATCACGCGGGGAGTAATGGGAGCCGTGGGGACACGGCGTGTGGAAGTGTTTGGGGCCCGGGTGTCCACCCCAGGTCAGGCTGGGAGAGCTGGCCTGGCTCTCCGCTGAGGGTACTGTGAAGTCAGTTTGTGAACAAAATCCGTTACCCTTTTCTGGGTCTGGCTCTGCTTTCAGTTAAGTGTGTGTGTGTATGTGTGTTTTCAAGCCACCTGTTAAGTCTTTGGCTGAATCTTGAGCCTTTGGGCTCTAGTGGAGTTGGCTCACTTGGGGAGGATGTTCTCCTTCCCTTTGAGCAGGATGACCAGGCACCCGTCTTTCTTGTTTTGCTCTCCTCCTTAGTCCTGGCAGGCGGACAGCCTATCTCCTATGACGCACTGTAGTTCTGGGCCTGCTGCCTCCCAGACTTGCCTGAGCTCAGCAAACCCACTGAGACTCGTAACTCTGATCTCCCTGGGGAAGGGCAGGGGAGGGGAGGTACACGGGAAGTGGAGTAGAATCAGGAGGAGAGTCCAGGGCCCGAGTTCACCCTTCTAGGTGATATCCCAGGGCTCAGAATTCTGGCAAGTTTCCCACCCCCCCTGCAAATCACCAGCTAGTGCATTGGCTACCACACGGTCTGAAGCTGACCGCTTCCTGTGTGTCGCAGGGATTACAGTGATGCTCTCCTGACAGACTGAAGGTCCAGGTTCCTACCTGCTCAGGCCCAGTGATGACCAACTGCAGTCTGTCACACCCAGGGCCACTGGGCAAGTGGCGGCCACTGTACGCTTCTCATTCTGCAGGTCAAAAGGCGCTAAGATAAAAAATCACTCCCCCCAGGCTTCTCTGCCCATTTATGTAGCATTTGGGGCCTTGAATAGCTAATAATCACATGACATTTCACATGTACCAGGCACTGTCCTACACATGCCTTATGGATAATGACTCATGGAGTCCTCACATTTGGTCTGTGAGGTAGGAGCCATTACCCCGATTCTGCAGATGCAGAGACAGGCACAGAGAGGTTAAGTGACTTGCCTAAGGTCACATCCAGTCAGGCAGAGCCTGGGTTTGCACACACACCAGGTGCCAGAGTCTACACTCAACCACACCAGCCTACTTCCAGCTAAAATATTAGCTGGGTTTTTTTCTTAAGCCTACCCACATGTGCACACACACACACACACACACACAGAGAAGCAGAGAAAGTAAAATGACAGTCTCTGCAAATCTGAGTTCACCGCTGGCCTTGAGAAGTCTCTCCACAAAGTAGGCCCTCTTTTCTGCGTGTCAGTCTCTGGTTGTCTGGGACGACTTTGGGACCCAGATGTCTTTACTGGGAGGAAGACAGGACCCCTCTGCTAGCGCTCCTGATCCAGGGAGGGAGACAAGCATTGGCATTGTTCAGGTGCCCTTTTTACCCCACATCCTGGCTGGTCTGGTCGTCCCTGACATCCCAAGGCCGTCTCAATGTCCCTCAGTCCAGCCCGCCAAGTGCTTTGACACACTGCTTTCTCAAGACCCTTCCCTTGCATCTGTTGGTAACTGTCCTCATCGGCACACAAGAAATCTCTGGCATGGAGCAGGGGAATGGTGCATCCCTAACTGAGGTGTCCTTGGGCAGCACATAGCCTTCATGCCTCTGCAGGGCAGCCCACTCATCCTCCTGGTGACAGCAGTGACGAGGGCCTTGGGGTCCGCTCCTGGCTCCACCTTTTCACCCTGGAAGATGTTGGACAAGTCCCGTAACCTTTCCAAGGTCCTCTTCTTTCACGTGCTAGATCAGCTTGATGATGACACCCACTTCTCAAGATTGTTGGCAGAGGCAAAAGTATCATTCACAGAAAACTAAGAGTATTCGTAAGTAATGCGTTTGGATTAGCAGAGATTAGAGCTGAACACTTCCTATTCCATATGCAAGGCTCCTTCTTTCAGAATTTCAGGAGCTCCCAGATCAGGTTGTGAGCGTTAAACCCCGCCTGAGGGTGGGCGAGGAAGGCTATGCGTCTTTCCTGGTCCCTGCCCCCCCCCCCCAGCTCTCGATACCAGCCACAGCAAACACTTCTAGAGGATGCCAGTGCCACTGGGTAGCAGTCACTTGGTATAAGAATCCGTCCCAAGAGCTATCTTCGCCATTTGCTGACCTCTGCCCGAGGGGTCAGTGTCGATAAAATTTTAGCAGCTCAGGCTCAGCTTCGGTGCCGGGCAGGTCTGCTTTCCAGCCATGGTTCTAGAGAGCAGGGGCTGCGGGTGCCTCTTCCTTACGAGCCATCACAGAGCAAGATGGTTTTGTGCAACGTGCCCCAACCATCTCGACCGTAAGCACGCTTTCCAGTATCTTCACCCAACCCAGCTCCTCGCCGTCCCTCTGTGCCACAGCAGAGGCTGCACGTGAGAATAAAGGTGGTTTTCCCTCTTTTCTGCACAGGGAGGTCGGCTGTCTTAGAAGTGGAGAGGCAGGCTCCAGAGTCAGAAAGCCCTGGAGAAACCAGGCTTCTCATTCCAGCTCTGCCGTTTGCAACCCGTGGTCTCTGGCCAAGTGCTCTGACCTCTCCCGGAGTTCCTTATCTGCCAAACACGGATGATGCTATCAGCCTTCATCCTTCTCCACTTGTACTTTTCTTCCCCCCACATTTTAACCGTTCTGAAATTGGAATCCTCTTAAAACCAGTTGCTTGTTGGATTTGTGGAAATAAAACCATGCCTGCCTCGCCGTGCTGTATTAAATGAGAAAGACATGGCAAAGGCCTGGCCCCTGGTGGGCACTCAGCTCACAGAAGCAGATGTCATTGTTGTCATTCTTGGGGTTGTTCTCATGACTCTTATTTGCACATTCTGGGTCTTCTTGAAGCCGGGACTTAGCCTGTACTGAGCAGGTAGGGTTATAGTGAGGAACAGCAAGACACAGGGCCAGAAGGAAGGATAAAGCTTTTCAGAAGTCAGTATGAGGGGCCTGCTGGGTGATTCATGCACGTAGCAAACCTTCATGGACCAAATCCTGCATGCATATTACAAGGCCTACAGGGAGGACCAAGAAATGTGCCCAGTCAGGGAGTGGTGGTAGAGTACTTGTGGGCTCTCTGGATCCCTGAGTGCCTTCAGACTCAGCATTCCCTCCTTCTAGGGTTACATCCCACTTTCTGCTTCCCAGGTGCTCCGCCATCACTGACTACTTACTCCCTGTGCTTCCCAGGGTTATTCTGCTTCTCTCTCTCAGGCCATTACGTGTTCCCATTTGTTGTCTTAAAGATGCTGTGACAGAGCTAAGCAGAGAATTTAAGGAAGCTGGGGAGCCCATTACGGACGACAGCACCAGCCTGCATAAGTTTTCTTATAAACTTGAGTATCTCCTCCAAGTAAGTGACTCCTGTACCGCGTTGATTTCTGCTCTGTTCTCTTTTTCCCGCTCGGGTGACTCATCAGCACTCAGGATGTGGTTCAGACAGCTCTGGGGAGCCAGTAAGCCTTCCTGGTTAGACTGAAGGTCGGAGCAGCCCCGGGTCGCTTGGAGCTTGAGCCTCCCAAGTGTGAGCCTCTGGAGAATCGGAATGTTGCCCCTTAGGATGATTGTAGGCATCAAGAACATTCTTTAGAGATTTAGATCATCTTAAGGCAGGTCACAACAAGGTCATTGGCTAGCAGAGATCTTAACTTTGGGGCAGTCGCATCCCCCTTTGAGAGTCTGGTGAAAGCTGTGGGATCTCTCCCCAAACAGACATGCCTGTTGTGTGTACACACCCAGTCACCCACTCTCTAGGAGTGTGTGGACTCTCTGAAGATTATCTAGAAGCTCCCATTTTGGAGCCTTGCTGCTCAGAATGGTGGGGTCCACAGACCAGCAGCATCAGCATTACTGGGGAGCAGGTGAGAAATGTATTCTCTGTGCCCACCTGACCTGCTAAATCAGGATCTCTGAGGTCAGCCCAGGAAGTTTTGTCTGAACATGCTCACAGTGTAATGCTGATGTCTGCTTGCTTAAAGAAGCACGGATCTAGAGAGCTCTGCAGTTGCGGAAAAATAGAGGCAATCACAGGAGGCAGGAAGGAAATGGACCAAAATGTTAACAGAAGTAATCTTAGGGAGGGGGTGTTGGGCATTTTGATTTTTTTTTGCTTTTCTAGTTTTATCCAGATTTTTCTAACAATGTATGTATCTTAACTTCCATAACCAGAAAAAAAAAAACACCATAAAATGTTATGTTATAGAAAGACACACCTTTATCCTTTTGAACACCAAAGTGTGCAATGTCACATCCCAGCAAAGCCCAGCTAGGGAATGGGCGCCTGCTGGAGGCAATGCCCCAACGTGTTGAGAGACTCACCTCTCAGTCCCTTTTCAGCTGCTTCTAACTTCCACTGGGGCATGATCTTTTTTCTTTTCAGTCAGCCCATTTTGGTTTTGGATTTGAAACGACTGACAGCTGGCATTAATTTGGATTTATCACATATATATTAAAACAGTGTTGAAACTTAAATTGCCAGGGTAAGATGTCTTGAACTCATTTCCCTAAGTTGAGATAAAGTTGACAGTCCTCATGTTGCCCTCGAGACTTTTTCTCAAATGTCCTCATTGTGTGTGAACAGCCCCTTTGGTGGTCTTCCACCCAGATCTATGCACAGAGGCCCCTTCAAGGGAAAGTCTTTCTGGGGGGGCTGCTACTCCTGAATGCCACTAGCTGTGGGACCCTGGGCCGGCTGCTTAACGTTTCCCAGCCTCAGTCTCCTCATCTGTAAGTTGGGGGTTGAAATACCACCCCTCTTTTGCCAGTCAACAAAAATGGTGCCTGTAAAGGGCCTCATCCAGGACAGGGTGACTAAGAAGCTGTTGCTGTTGTTGATCATTTAAATGGTGGGATGATCAGCCACGCATCTGGCCCTCCTCTCTCTGTCCCTCTGTCTCCACAGTTTGATCAGAAGGAGAAGGCTACCCTCCTGGGCAACAGGAAGGACTACTGGGATTACTTCTGTGCCTGCCTGGCCAAGGTGAAAGGAGCCAATGACGGGATCCGATTCGTCAAGTCGATTCCGGAGGTAAGCAGAGTGGCCAAGGTCCTCGCATCTTCCTCTGTCTGCCTTAGCATCTCTTGCCCAGACCTGCGCTGCAGGCAGCTCCGTGAGGAGGTGGGGGTGGACAGCGGGTGAGGAAGTAAGGAAATCCGGGCACACTCAGTGCAGGGCTCGCTCGGGGAAGCCACCCAAGTGAGCGCTCACCAAGCAAGGGATGGCTTGGTCCTGACTCTGTCCTTCAGACCACGAGCACGCGCGGTCTCAGAGTGGGCTGCTCACACTGAGGCTATTTTGGGGGCCCATCAAGGGCGTACAGCGCAGGACCGCCTCCGCCTTTTCGAAAGAATTAGTTCCTTAGATAGAATTCTTAAGAGTTTACAAGGTGCTTTCCCTATAATTTGTTCAGGAAGTTTGTACTGATAATGAAGAGAGTGATGTGAGACCTCAAGGGACGTTTCTTAAAATGCCGGTCATGCTAAGCAGCTTCCCACATTCAGTTCTGTGTCGCTCGAGCAGCCAGCCAGCGCGTTGCTGTTTTAGAAAACTCCAGAACAACACATTCTCCCCCCTCTCCTTTCTCTCTTTTCTCTCTTTCTCTCTCTCTTTCCCTCCTTCCTTCCCTCCCTTGCTTGCCCTCCCTCCCCCGCCCCCCACCTTCAGCGTAGTCCCTCTGGGAGTGAAAAAGGGTGCACACTCAGGAGTGAGTAAACCCCTAGATTTTGGGCAGGAGGCCTGTAGGGTTTCTCCATTTCGTCTCTCTTCCCAGCATCTTGTCAGTATGTTTGGAGTCACTTTAAAGCCAGCAGCCGTGCTCCTTGGCCGGCCTACCCCAAAGGCTGCAGAGTCAGGTGCTCTATCTCTCCCGCTCCCTGCCATCTGGAGCCAGACGGGCTGCTGCTTCTAGAGGATGACGGCGTTAGGTACACAGACAGTGAGGGCCGAGCATTTTCCAGTCTCTGACATCTGAGAAAATGAGGAAAGACCTTGGCCGTGAAGAGTCTATTGGATTTCTTTAATATCCATGCAGCGCCACGGTCTTGTGAGAACTTGCTTGGCGGGACCACCGGGTCCCCGACATAGAGCGTTTTGATGCCTCACACACCTGGAGAGGGGTCTCATCTCCTCTCCAAAGGTCTGGAAGAAGTTCTTAGCATCACTGTCCTGTCTTCCACTCCTCAGAGCAGCAAAGACCTTTGACTTTACGGCTTCAGACAGCTGAAGTCTGGAAATAAGCTTAGCTTAGTCCCCCGGGCCCAGGGCTACAAAATGCTTAAATCTCCTTTTCGCATAAGGCACAGACCTCTAGACAATCCGAGGCCAGGGAAACTGACTTCTTAAAGCAAAAAGCACTCCCTGCTTGCACAGACATTGCTGGTTCCTGGCGGCTGTGTGGGCTCTGCTTCCCACGGGCTCCAGTTGTCTCATCCCTGTGCAAGGCTCTGCTCTCCTGGGCGCCCTTGGGTGGAATGACTTGGAAGGGCACTGGGCCACAGGGCTGCTGGGTACTCGGGCTAACTGTAACAATCAAGTGTTGTCCAGGCCGCCAAGCCAGAAGGTAAAAGTGAATGGATAAGAAGCCTTGCTGAGCCCCTCAGGCCCTCATGGGCTGGGGGGCAGCCTTTTGGGCTAAAATAGCCTAAGGCTATATAATCAGCCACTTCCAGAAGTTCAGAATAAGCCTAGCCCGAGCTGTGCGACTTTCCCCGAGATGGACAGGGTCCGAACCAGGGTGCAGCTTGGCATCGGGCTGTCAGCACAGTGATCTGGCTGAAAGCAGAATCCACTCTTGTGCACCCTTGCAGACTTCCTGCCCTTCACTGCTGTTGGGTAGCTTCTTGGTAGAGTACAGGTAGATGAGTTTGGGCCAGATGCTAAAAACATGACCTAAAAATTAGGCCATGAACGTGGACCCGGGATCTCACAACATAAAAAATAAAAAGCTGGGCAGTATTTTCACTTGCGGTACAAAGGAACCATTGATCCCCTCCCCCAGGGGATGTTTCGAGGTGCCTCTTAAAATAAATAGCTCCATGTATATGTATATATATATATATCATATCAATTTGGTTAAGCTGATTAAAAACCCAGCCTCAAATGTTTGGCACCGAAAGGGTCTTAATGTTCTAAATGCTGTTACAGTGGCCATTTTGCTATTAAGGACAAGCCCATCCCTGGGGAGCTCATGGACATGCGCTGTTGTGTGAGGGTCTCATTAAGTTCTGCAGGGCCTGTGTGTGGACGTGGCTGTCTGACCCACACACTTGGCTTCACGGTGCCTTGCTCCGCTGTTCCGGGCTACCCTGAGTTTGCTGGGCGTCACCACTGAACACTCCATTCGCCCTCGCTCATCGGTGGAAAAAGGACTTGGACGTGGGGCTGTCCTCACGATTCTCCCCAGGGCGTCTGTCCTGACCGGCTCTCTGCAGACATGCCATGATGGCTTTTCTAAAGCCAGCATGGCAGGCTGCCACCCACCTTCACTTCTAGGTGTCCTGACCATGCCCTGGACTCAGAGAGCACACACGGAGACCCAGCTTACAGCCCCTTTACTTCATGACATTTCACACCTTTTTATTTTTTAAAGTGACTTCATACTGCGTATCATTTCCTTGAGTCAGCAGTAAGGAGACCTACAGTTCTGAGGTAAAAGGTGCTGTAGACCGGGATGTTTACACCTTCATTAATATGTCAGTGCTTGAGGCTATACCACACATTTCCTGTCCCAGTCCAGTGCCATGATTGGTTTCTCGATAGTATGGGGCGTTAGGACCATCTGTCCCCGGTCCCCTTCCACGAAGTTAAATGTTTCTAACCTTTGAAGAGGCGAGGAGGGTATATGGGTCTTTACTTCTCCGACCCACACCCCGAGCCTGACAGAACTGGTAGGTTGAGAGGTTTTGAATTCCTGCCCACTTATCTTGAACTTCTGGAGCTGAACCATTGGGAATGAGTCCTGTTTGGCACACTGGCTGTGTGTGCCCATCGCTGGCAGAGTCTCTGGCCAGCACACCCCACTTCCCTCCCAAGAGCCTTCCAGAAGCCTCTTCAGAAGCCACGTTTTGGCACTGTGGGGTGAGGTTTCAATGGCAGGCCTGCACCTGGACCCTCCTGTGTTGCCCACCTCAGACTTCCTGAAACAGAGCCACACCCATTTGTTCTTTACACCGGTATGTCCAGGCCACCTAGAGACACCTCTGCTCTCTCTCTCCTCCTGGGTACCTTCTGACTAAGTGCAGTGAGCTGGCATGTCTTAAGCAAATCCAACCAGGAAAGCATTGACACATACAGATTTTACTGAGGGTTTCAGGAGAACACCGAGAAGGCCGTCATACATCCATCAGAACTTCTTAAAAGTGCCCCTGACGCATCCCTGCCCTTGCCCTCCTCTCCTGCCCCTCCCACTGGGGCTTCAGCCAAGCCCCGTGGCCCCTTCCCCTGATCCTCTTCTCCCAGCACCTCAAAAACAAGCCCAGACATTAGCCAAACTGAGACCATCTCTTGCTCAAGTTCACTTCTGACGCGAGGAGCATTTCATTTGACCTGCCTAGCTTTATTCTAAATATTCCAAATGAAATCAAACAGTTTCACACGTGACTCTAAGCCCAGAGCTTCTGACGAAGCAGGGGAGGGGGAATGACATTCCCTGGAGCACCCACAGATGTTTCAAAGCTTCTCGTGAACAGGTCTCCCTTGACACGTTTACTGGAGTCTACAGGTTATTCTCAGATGGGGGCCTGCAAGAAGTCTGCCTGCTGCAGGCTTCACCCTCTGGGGTGACGTGAGGCCACGTCTACACCTGGAGTTAGGCTAACAGCTCTTCTTTTCAACATCATCTGCTTTTTCCAGCTCCGAACATCTCTGGGAAAAGGAAGGGCATTTATCCGCTACTCCTTGGTGCACCAGAGGTTGGCGGACACCTTACAGCAGTGCTTCATGAACACCAAGGTGACCAGGTAAATGCATGGCAGTGCTGGGCTTTACCCAGTGAGCTCGAGTCCCCTCATTAGTACCAGGGAGCCCCTAGCCATCCTCGGTGTACAGGGGGTGGTAGCGCAGTGTGTTGACAGGTGAAGAGACGGAGCTCAGAGGGGCTGAGTGCCTTTCTCTAGGCCCCACTGATGCCGGGTCACAAAGCAGGAGCTTGGAGCCAGACCTCTGAGCTCCTGATGCCAGGTGGCTTTCCCTCACGGTGGCATGCCCTCGGTGCCGGCCCTAATGAGTGGACAGACCCCACCGGCCACCGGGGCCAGTGGGCTGCAGCCTTGGCTCTCAGCAGAATCAGCTGTGGGCTTTTTAACACCTCCAAGCCTGGGGCCTCACCTGAGACCCTGAGTCAACCCCTGCTGGGTGTGTTGGGGCTCCTCTGACGTTGTGGTGGGCAGCCAGATTGGAGCCCCGCTTATCAGTGGGGTCGGCCTTTGTGCGGCTGGTGCTAAAGCCTGGATAGGCGGCGAGCGGGGAGGGAGGGGACTGAGCATGTAAATGGGGTGTCCAATGAAGAGCTGCAGCTCAGGCCCCTGGCAGCCGAACCTCTTTGGGTTTCCCACACCCTTTTCCAGCGCTGCCTCCCCTCTCCCCAGGGAGTGTTCTTCCAGTCAAAGAAATCACTTGTGGATAAAAAAAAAAAAAAAAAAAAATACTGGTTGGGGGAAAATAATGTGTTTCATTTTGTCACCACTAAGACTGATTTGCATAAAGACATACTTCTCATGCGTGTGACAGGCTCTGTGAATTCATGTGAGTTGAGAACTTTCGCACATTTGATCTGAAGAGTATTTCGTTCTAGATGTTTGGTGAGAACCGTCACCAGCAGCTTGACTTCCAGTGCGTCACCTTTTCACAGACGCCAGCCGAGTAGCTCCTTAGGCCCAGCAGTGTTGCCTTTCTCAATTCTTACTGCTTCACACCTCAGAGTGTGGCTGTTTGGTTTCTTGGCTTTAAAATTGGTGTCTGGACAGACCTTAGCCACGAGCTCACTGTCCTATATTGAATCCTCTAGAGGAGTAGGAGATGAGGTTATGTTTCACAGAGGAAGTGTTCTTTCCCCTATAACTGCCGCTTTCCTGGCAGATAACTGAGATTTCAGTTTTCTCATATCCTTTTTGGGGAATAAATATGATGTAAATAATAAATGAAGAAGCATCTAGTTCATTTCAGTGATTTCCTTGAAGAAGAGCAAGATTAATTGAAAGTTAGGTGCTCCTACTGTGAAAATAAAACGGGAGTGAGTGTGTGTGTGTGTGTGTGTGTGTGTGTGTGTGTGTCCCCATCTGTCCCTGTCTGTCTGAATTTAACTTGTTAGTAACCTGAGTGAGAATTTGATAAGCCATATCAAATTCAGTCTTTCCTTACCTTTATTATCCTTATCATCAATCCCTTTTCCTACTTCCCTGCAGTGACTGGTACTATGCAAGAAGCCCTTTTCTGAAACCGAAGCTGAGCTCTGACATCGTGGGCCAGCTCTATGAGCTAACCGAGGTTCAGTTTGACCTGGTGTCGAGAGGCTATGACTTGGACGCTGCCTGGCCAACGTTTGCCAGGTATTTTGAAGAACTGCTTGGTTGAAAAAACTGTGGGAAGAGGTGTTTGAAGTTCCAAAGGTTGCTGCCAGTCTACTCAAAGCAGTTTGGTCACTCAGTAAATTACATAAGGCTTTGCAACTCTTATACCTACTAATTTTCTAGACTTTGTTGAGTCGTGACTAATGATAGTATCAGAAGGCTCCAACTCGAAACTCTCCTGACTCTCCTAACTCTCCTAACCGGCCAGGTGGTATGAGTCAGTGGAAATGCATATGCAAAACCTGAGGTTTTTTAAGTGTGTTAAGGGACTTGGGGGTGGCCAGTGGGGGAAGCCAGCGGGCTTTTTCCTAGTCGTGTTCTTGCAGAGTTGCCACGGAGGACTTGCAGGCAATGGGAGAGGGAACTACAGCACCCACGGAAGAGTTGCTGGAAAAACGCTCACCTGCCACTCCAGGAGGGAGATGGGAAGGGACAGGCTCAGACAGTGGGTGACTTACCCACAGTCGCCCAGCACCGCCAGGGCGCCAGACTCGAGTTCAACTCCGTTTCAGCATTTATTTATTTTTTTGAGAGAGCGCGTGCATGCGTGAGAACTTGCGCATGCGTGCGCTCTTGGGGGTGGGGAAGCAGAGGGAGAGGGGGAGAGAGAATCTCAAGCAGGCTCCATGCCCGGGTCAGAACCTCAATCTCACAACCCTGAGATCATGACCTGAGCCGAAATCAAGAGTTGGTGGCTTGGGGCGCCTGGGTGGCTCAGTTGGTTAAGCGACTGCCTTCAGCTCAGGTCATGATCCTGGAGTCCTGAGATCGAGTCCCACATCGGGCTCCCTGCTCAGTGGGGAGTCTGCTTCTCCCTCTGACCCTCCCGCCCTCATGCTCGCTCTCTCTCACTCATTCTCTCTCTCTCTCTCTCAAATAAATAAATAAAAATCTATTAAAAAAAAAACAAAAAAACAGTTGGCCGCTTAACCAACTGAGCCACCCAGGCACCCCCTGGCCCAGCATTCTTTGTTTTGCTTTCTGTTAATACAGATTGTTTTAAATGTCAATTTTTATACTTTTTATTAGGAAATATTTTCTATGTAGAGAAGAGTCCTGAATATGATGACACCCATGTGCTGACCAAGATGAAAAGCTAATATTCTGCCATATTTTCTGGACATGTCCTTTTTTAAAACTTTTTAATTTTGAGATCATTTCATAATTACAGCAAAGTTGCCCCCAAAATGCCACAGAGCATTCATCAGCCTTTACCTCAACTCCCTAATTATCAGTATTTTACTGCCACTGTTTTATCACTCTTTCTCTTTATCAGTACATGTTGGTTTATTCCCTAGGCCATTTGAGAGAAAGTCAACAGACTTGATTCCGCTTGACTCCTCAGTACTCACTGTGTACTTCCTAAAGTCAAGGACACGCTCTTATGTTTAACCTCAGTGCCGATATTAAGATCAGGAAATTAACATGGGTACAATGCCACCGATTTACAGATTCTAAGAATTATGCCAATAACGTCTTCTATACTCCAGGAGCCGGTCCAGAAATGCAAGCTGCAGTTAACGCCAGTCTCTCTGGTCTTCTTGAATTTGGAACTGTTTCTCAGTCTGTTTCACAGTGTAGATATTTTTGGTGAAAAGCACAGGCCAGTTACTTTGTAAAATGTTCCTTCCTTGGAGTTTGTGTAGGACTTTCTCATTGTTAGATTCAGGTTAAGCATTTCCGGCCGGAGTACCCAGATGTGTCGTTCTCAGCACATTATGTCCGGAGACCCACGATGTTGATTGGTTTCGTCACCGTGGCGGTTGACCATGACCGTTAGGTTAAGGTGGCATTTGCCAGATTTCTCTAAAATTACTCTCTCCCTTTGTAATCAGTATGTTTCATATGGGAAGATACTTTAAGATTAAGTTGTTGGGGCGCCTTGGTGTTTCAGTCTGTTAACCATCTGCCTTCGGCTCAGGTCATAATCTCAGGGTCCTGGGATTGAGCCCCATGTCAGGCTCTCTGCTCAGTGGGGGAGTCTGCTTCTCCCTCCCCCGGCTCGTGCTCTCTCTCTCACACTCTCTCAAATAAATAAGTAAAATCTTAAAAAAAAAAAAAAAAAAGATTAGGTTGTTACCTCGCTTTTTCCTTAATATTTATGTATGTCTGTATTTTTGTGAGCTCCGCGCCCAACGTGGGGCTTGAACTCAGGACCCCAAGATCAAGAGTTGCATGCTCTGCTGACTGAGCCAGCCAGGCACCCCTATGTATGTATGTATGTATGTATGTATTTATAGCAGAGTTATTCTTATTCTTATTAAAATAAGAATATTATTCTTACTCTTATTAAAATAAGAAGCCATGAGTCATGGGTACATGACTCATTTTAATTTTAATCAGTGGGCTACATTCTGTCACTGTAATCATTTATTTTGATGCTTAAATTGTTCCCTATTAGGCCAGCAGAAGCCCCTTTGAGCTGGATCTTTTGGGTTTTTTTTTTTTTTGGATGTTATATCTGATACCATTCATTTAGAAAATAAAAGATCACAGATCAAATAAAGCCCCACCCCACTGTCACGCTCTCCCCTTTAATTCTAGAAGTAATCACAGCCCTGTAGTTGACACACGTCATTCCTGAATCTGTGTGTTACTATGTGTGCAACCATACATATTTTATATATGTGTGGTTTTGTTTTGTATGTGTTTATAAATTTTGGGTACATTGAATCATAGGTAGCTATCCTTTTGCAACTCGCTTGTCTCATTTCACGTCGTTTTAGAGATTTTTATCTGTGTTTCTACGTGGATTTCTATGGCTGTAGAGAGAGGGTCAACCAGCCACAGCCCGGAGGGCAGCACGGGTTGGGAGGGCGGTCACACAGCTTCGCCCGTTCATTTACCTGTTGTCCGCGGCAGCTCACGTGCTGCCACTGTAGCCTGAGTCGTGACAGAGACCAGAAGGCTGGCAAGCATAAGGTATGCCTTGTCTGGCCCCTCATAAGAAGACTGCCAACCCCCCATGTAGAGCGTTTACCTGCTTCCCGGCGGGACAGAGTTGGGCTGGATCTGCTGCCTTCACTGCCACAGTGCGTCCCCCAAGCCCGGAGTCACCTTGACTTGCAGACTGATTGCTGCTCTCCCCTCACTAGCAGACAGACCGTGACAGGCACCAAAGGTGTAAGGAAAATTTCAACCCCAAATTGGAAAATGCCAGGTCCACTTAGTTCTTCTTTGGCAGCAGGTGGAAAGGCCTTACGTTCAAACTTGGCAGTGGAGCCCGTCAGCCGCGGGCCAGCATAAATGTGCTCTTCAGTAGAAGCTGTTGGGTTTTTGGCTTTTGACACTCTCTCTGGGAGGGCAGTGCCCCCTGCCACCACCTAGGTGCCTTGTGATAATCAAGGCCTCTGTGTGTGTGTCCTGATCTGATACCGTCTGTCTGTCCTGTGGCCCCACAGGAGGACACTGGCCCCCGGCTCTTCTGCTTACCTGTGGAAACCCCCCAGCCGCAGCTCCAGCATGAGCAGCTTGGTGAGCAGCTACCTACAGGTAATGCCAGAAAGGCTGGGGATTTCCTCACCAACGCGTCACCAAGGCTGTGCCCTGGCCTCTCGCAACTCGGGGCAGTGTTCTCAGACACCTTTTGTTCCAACTCGAGTAATACAAACCCTCCATTCTCCGTGTTATTTCCTGGAGGCCGGGTTTTTATGACCCAGTAGAACTTAGGCCTTTTAAAAATTAAATTCTGTTAGAAGCTTTTGAAGTATTTTAAAGGAAGCAATTTAGGTCTTGGGTTAAAAGCAGGGGAGTCAAACGCTGACTGTCACCCACCAGTCGCGTGACCCCGGGCAGACCACTTACCCTCTTGAAACTTGAGTGCTCTCATCCAGAAAACAGGGGTCATAGAAGTCATTCTGGCTCAGAAGGTGATGGTGCAGATAGAATGAAGGCGCCCTTAAGGGCTTGACACAGGCGAGTAAGTGCTCAGGGAAAGTCCTGGGGAAAGTTTGCGGGTAGGGTGAAGTTTGTTAATTGTGTTACAAGTGTGAATGTATCAAAGTCGCATATAGTTTTAAAGGTAAGAACAGTGCAGTTAAAACAAAATTAAAATACAATGACGTAAAAATAATAGAAGCATTACGAGTGGACACTAAATCGAGCTTGAGCCCTGTTGCGTGGTTGGATCGCAGCAGGAGCTGTATGTATGGTGCAGTGGTGAAGAGGGGTTTAAATGTAACCTGATGAATCTGAGCGCCAATGTCCATTATGCTCCCAACGCTCTGGGAGGCTGGATGGGACGTGCAGGCTCTGAGAGCCCGGGGAGCTCACGTGCGTGGCATCACGTCTTTAGGATGTTCTCTGACCTCCTTTGGCAGGTGCTTCCAGCGAAGTGCTTCTAGCCTTTTGAAGAGCTCAGGAGACTCGCTCTTTAATGACTTCTCATTGAACTCTAAAGCTTTTCCCCGTGGCCGTGGAGCTTCTCTCCCGGGGCCACTTGTGTTTTGTTTTTCCTCCGCAGACTCAGGAGATGGCCTCCAGCTTTGACGTGAGCAGTCCCATAAACAACGAGACGCTGGAGGGCTTTGACGAGATGCGGCTGGAGCTGGACCAGCTGGAGGTGCGGGAGAAGCGGCTGCAGGAGCAGATGCAGCAGCTGGACAGAGAGAACCAGGAGCTGAGGGCGGCTGTGAGCCTCCAGGGCGAAAAGCTGCAGACGGAGAGGGAGAGGGGCCGCGCCGCTGCCGAGGACAATGCCCGCCTCGCTTGCATGGTGGCCGAGCTCCAGAAGCAGTGGGAGGTTACCCAGGCCACCCAGAATGCCGTGAAGGAGTTCCAGGAGTGCCTGCAGGCCCTGGAGCTGGGGGCAGCAGAGAAGGAGGAGGATTACCGCTCGGCCGTGCGGCGGCTGGAGTCTCTGCTGCAGCCCCTGGTGCAGGAGCTTGAGGCCGCACAGGACCCACTGGGCGGGGAGGACCGGCATTCACCTAATGTCGCAGCCCAGCTGGGCACGGCCGAGCAGAAGGCAGACGCGGCACCGGACACACAGGGGCAGCAAGAGCTCCTCCCCAGCGCCTCGGCCCTGGAGGTCCAGGAGCTGCGGGAGAAGCTTCGAGCCCTGGAAAGAGAGAGCACCAAGGCACGGGAGCTCAGCAGGCGGCAGAGTGGCCAGCTGGAGCAGTTGGCCAGGGAGCTGCAGCTGAAGGAGGAGGCCCGGGCCAGCCTGGAGCGCCTGCTGGAGGAGATGGCCCCGCTCCGGGAAGAGCTGGCCGGGAAGGGGCATGAGGCGGCCCAGCTCCGGCGGCAGCTACAGGAGTCCCTAGCCCACCTGAGCTCCCTGGAGCAGGAGCTGGCAGAGGTGAGGCAGGGGGAGCGGCAGCGGCGAGAGGAGAAGGAGCTATTGCAGCAGGAGGCCGGTTTCCTGGCACGGCAGCCGCGGCTCCTCGAGGCCCAGCTGGCCCAGCTGAGCCGGCACGTGAGCGAGCTGCAGGAGCAGAAGCAGCAGCTCATCCGGGACAAAGACCACCTCAGCCAGAAGGTGGGGGCGCTGGAGCGGCTTGCCGGGCAGCCGGGCCCAGATCTGCCCACAGCAGGGGAGAAGCCCGAGGCCCGGGGCCCCCCAGGTTCCACCCTGCAGCAGGTCTTCAAGAAGCCGGAGGAGGAGCAGAGAAGCCCCGGGGAGAGCCAGACAGGTGATAGCCAGATGCAAGGGAACGGTCAGGAGGAGAAGCTCCAGCAGGCCAACAGAGAGCTGGAGAAGGAGCTGCAGAATGTGCTGGAGCGCAACCAGCTCCTCGAGGGCAAGCTGCAGGCCCTGCAGGCTGATTACCAGGCCCTGCAGCAGCGGGAGGCAGCCATCCGGGGCTCCCTGGCCTCCCTGGAGGCTGAGCAGGCCAGCATCCGGCACATGGGGGACCAGATGGAGGCCAGCCTCCTGGCTGTGAGGAAGGCCAAGGAGACCATGAGGGCCCACGTGGCCGAGAAGGAGGCCGCCCTGCGGAACACAGAGGCCGAGCGTCAGCAGCTGCAGGAGGAGGTGGGGCTGTGCCGGCAGCTGGTAGAGGCCCGGGAGAGGGAGCTCGGGGCTCTTGAGCTCCAGTGCCGCCAGCAGACCCAGCTGATCGAGACCCTTATGGCGGAGAAAGGCCAGCAGGGGCTCGGCGCACCTGAAGACCGTGCCCACCGAGAGACAGCAGCCCAGCCGGCCCTGGGTCAGGCCCAGGTGGAGAACCAGCAGGGGGAGGCTGGGCGCCTGCCAGCTGAAGTGCTAGACCTTCAGGCCAAGCTCCAGGCAGCCCTGGGTGACCGGGAGAAGGTACAGGGCCAGCTGAGCGTGGCTGAGGCTGCTCTGAGGGAGCACAGAGCCCTGGTGCAGCAGCTGAAGGAGCAGAACGAAGCCCTCAAGAGGGCCCAGGGTCAGGAGCCGCTGCAGCGCTCAGAGCGGGAAGGGGCACCGCGGGAGGAGAGGACTGAGGAGGGGGAGCGATCATGGACCGAGAACCCACCAGTCCCAGAAGGCGGCTCCCTGGAAGCCCGGCTGGAACCGGCCGAGTCGCAGGGGCAGCTGCCTGGGCCTAGCGCAGCCACCGACGAGCCTGGCGTCCGTGTCAGCTCGCAGTTGGCCGAGAAAAAGCAGACCGAGGAGGCCCTGGCCTGCGCCATGCGGGAGCTCCGTGACATCAAGGAGGCAGCCTCGAGGCAGCGAGAGGGCCTGGAAGAGCAAGTGGCAGGACTGCAGCGAGAGAGGGACAGTGTGCAGGAGAGGCTGCAGGTGGCCGAGGAGGCGGCCTGCGCCCTGCCCGGCCTGCAGGCCCAGCTGGCCCAGGCCGAGCAGCGGGCCCAGAGCCTCCAGGAGACGGCACACGAGGAGCTCAATGCCCTCAAGTTCCAGCTGAGCACCGAGATCATGGACCACCAGAGCCGACTGAAGGTAGTCCTCCCTTGTCTTGACCCCCGGGGCTGCGGCGGTCTCCTGTGGTGGGGCCCGGCGGGTCCACCAGAGGATAGGACGTGCCTTCAGCCATGTGGCACGTGAGGACCCCGGAATGTACTGGGCAGCCGGGCGGACGCGGCGGTCCTGCTTTCCAGGTCCCAGCACTCTTACCCTCGCGGGGCCACCGTAGGGGCACTTGTCGGGGGCGAGGCCCTAGCCCAGAAGTCTAAACTCAACATGGTCGCAGACGGGTTTGGTCCATACAGAGTGGCTCTTTTACATCAGTAACCAACACTTAAAGAGCTGGATGTTTACAAATTCAGTTTGGGGGCTCCCTTTGAAATCGCAGGAGATCTTAAAGACTGTGCCCTCATTCCCAACCTGCAGAAGGCACCAGGAGCTGGGTGGTGCGTGCCCCCTTCAGAGGAGGTGGGCACCCTCTGGTGTTTTCCTCAACGCTCGGTCATGTACATGCCCCACCCCTCTGGGCCTGTGAGTTTGCCCTAGACCCTCTCCTAGCCTCTAGAACCTCTAGCCTGCGAGTCTCGTCTTTGGGTTTTCTGTCCCTTCGGGTGCCATCCCGATGGCGGGGGCTGTTGTGGAAACTGGCTCAGTGCGTTTTCACAAAGCCTTTGGAGTAGACGGGCTTACAGGAGCAGTGCTGACCATGAGCCTCGGTACTGTGTAAAGGAAAAGGGTTAAGGGTGGCTGAGACCGAGGACGCAAGCAGGCTGGCCATGGAGCTTTGGTTTCCAAAGCTTATCACTTGCCCATTAGCACTGTGGTCTGTGCTCACTCCCAGACACACAACTATTGCATTTCTGCACATGTGCTTCCAACGCCGTGTCCCCCGTCCTGTGCTGCTCCCCGTGGCTCATAGGGCACTTGTTTCCTTGCCGAAACTAAATCCTAAGTGTGAGGACCAAGCTAAGTCTCTTAGTAAACTTGAAAGGATATTGTCACCAGTGAAGCCCAAAGCTTATTGAGTTGGGTGAAACAGAGAGAGGTAGCTTGTTTTTACCCATCTGGGGGAATGGGCTGAGGGGGTCTCCATGCAGGGACCCCACTTTCACAAGCCCTCTCTCATCATCTCCAGACTGCCAGTGAAGAGTGCCAGAGCCTCAGGGACCAGCTTGAGGAGCGAGGCCGGCAGCTGCAGGCCGCCGAGGAGGCGGTGGAGAGGCTGAAGGTAGGCCCTGGGGAGCATGCTGGTCGGCGGCCTGGCCGCCTGGGCGGGGAAGACTGGCGTGCCCGACTCAGCCTGGTCATTCCCACCCCCAGGGTGCGGGCCTGTCAGGGAGAGGGGTCTAATTTGGTTTGCACTGGACCCTTTAGAAGGGTCGTGTGCAAGACTCCCGATCCCCAAGCCAAAGCTCCCATCCGTTCACCTCTGTGGACGTCTTGAGCTTGCATCTCAGCCCCTTCTGCCTCCCGGACACCCAGCTAGAGCCGCCAGATGTGTTTCTCAGCCAGCCGTGTGCACAGGATATGAGGTGTCCTTCTTAGCTGCCTCCGCAGGCATGCCTGAGTTGGTGGTCCTGAAGCGAGGGGGCTCCGGGGGGGGGGGGGGATTGCTGCAGTCACCGTCTCCAGGGAACCCCGCTCCCTGCCACCTGCCGCCCCACCTCCGCCCCCACCCCGAGATTTGATTCCTGCTGCCGCTCCTCCAACCTCCCCAGCCAGTTGCAAGTAATACTTGACAGATAGGATTACAAACAGGAGTGGGTCACTCAAAGGTTCTCGGGCTCTTGAACTTAAAACCCTCTCCAGTTAGAAGTGACCTGGCCAGGTGGGGCGGAGAACCCACCAGTCCCTTTCTGGCCTGCGGCACGGGCTCCAGTCGGCTGTCTTCTCCCCGCTGTCCCATGCCAGGCTGCCCAGGCAGATCTGGGAGAGCAGCTGCGCGGCACCAGCAGGCGTCTTTCCGAGAGCCAGGCCGCCATGCAGAAGAAGGATGAGGAGGGGGCTGCCCTTCGCAACAGCCTGGACAGGTTAGTGATGCAGTTCCCGCCCACAGGGCCCCGGCCACAGAGGGAGGCTTCAGGGAAGTGGGTGTCTGGTGCAGTCATTTAGAAACTCAGCCGCTCATAGCAGGTTAAAGAAGTCCTCTTGAAAGAGAAGCCACAGACTCGGAGGGCACTTTGCCAGAAGCACGCCACAGGGGCGGGCAGCCCGCCTCTCACCCCCCTGCAGGCAGCTGCTGAGCCTTTCTTGATGCCATTTTCCCACATGCAGGGCACGCTTCTGCTTTGGAAGAGCTGACATGAAATAAAAGTTGCAATATGATAGTGGTAATGATAACAGCAAACAAATAATGCCTCCAATGGGCCAGGCACCATTTTAAACACTGCATCTCTTTGTCCCTTTTTTCCTCCTAACTGTCCTTTGAGGAAATTATTACCTGTCCCCATTTTATAGATGAGGAGAGTGAGGCTCAGAGGAGTTAAGTCGCTTTCCCAGCGTCTGACGGCACGTGGGCGGTGGTGGGAGGTGCGACCCGGGCCGCTTGACTCCAGAGTCTGTTTCCGCAACAACTACCCTGAAAAGCGCACAGATACTTCTGTGTCTGGTCTCGTGTTAGGGTCCTAGGGTGTGTGGGTGGGTGTGTGTGTGTTTCCCCGCTACGAGTTGTGACTCGAGCTCTTCCTGGTTTCCTTTATGAAATGAGAGGCCGCAGGGCTGGGGTGGGGGGGGGGGTCTCACAAGCACGTGCCCAGTGAAGGTGAGCCGGTGTGCCTGGCACCAGGCCGGCTGGTCTGCCTGCAGACATCGTGCTGGCACCCTTCACAGTTGTCCTGACCTTGGAGTATGGCCCTACTTGTGCAGCCCCAAGCTTTCCCTGAGCCCCCTCATCTTCAGGCTGGGGGGCGACCTGGAGTTATGAGCGTGAGCCCACCATTTGGTGAGGAGGCCAAGGCAGTCCTGCCAGGGATGCTGCCGCCCAGTCACCTGTGTGCCCCCAGCAAAGACTGGCACACCAGATTGTCCCAAGCCTTTACCTTTTCTGCCCATCCCTCGTTGCCTCCTACCACCCGGCTTCTGGGGGGGGGGGGGCGGGTCCAGGCTCAGTGGGAGATCCAGAGCATGTTGGGTGTTCAGTAACCCAACATGCACATTTCTTCTCACCTGATTCTTCCAGAACGCTGTAGGGCTTTGGCTGCCCAGGTCGTATTCACGTGACGATACAAATAGCAAGAACCTCCTAAGTTGGTGGCATTTTTTAGGAAAATGCTATGACAGTACTTATTTGTAAGATCTCAGAGCCATTGTTTTAGCTGTTCAGTGTTGCATAATTCGTCTGTCCTGGATTGGGTTTTACTTTATTCACTGTGTGTGTGCATGCACGCGCATGTGTACACCCATGAGATCATTTTGGTGGACAGTGTCTCATGAACAACCTTCCGACAGCTTTATACTGGGCATGGGAAGGCTGGATTAGATACAGATTACTTAGTCTCTGCAGAGCCCTGTGTTTAATGGAGGCTTTACGAATACCCTGCTGGTCCTTGGGGTCTGTAGAGCATTCCTGGAGCACCACTGCCCTTGGGGACAGGCGAGCTGCAAGTAGAGTGGGCAAGGGCAGGAGGACCACGCTTTGTTCGGCCAGCCCTCGGCCATAGACTGAGCCGAGGGAACAGAGCTCCTTAGGCCTCCGGGCTGTCGGGTCAGCACCTGGCAGTGCCCACTGAGTGCCCGCTGGGTAGCCAGCACCACGCCCTGTGCACAGAGCCCCAAAGACACGTGGGAGACAGGTCCTTGTCCGTGTGATCACCTCCAGGGAGATACACCTGTTTTCTTTCTATCCCAACTCCATTTTCCTCTTGCAAACCACCCATGACCTCAGCCCCTGCCCCCAAACCAAGTGGTGCAGAGTTCAGACTCACCTGGGGTGCTCCTAGCAGCCTGAGGTCGCCGGCTCTCCCAGAATGCCCATTGTATTTGATGTGGGGGGGGTGGCGTGTGAAGAGTTTGGGGGTGCGAGGGGAGTTTTGAAGGCCGGGGGGATGCACAACTTGTGAGTGGGTCGTGCCGAGGGGCGCCCCCCACTGCGAGAAGGAAAAGGCTCAGACAGTAGCAGGACCCCTCATTAGAGGCCCGAGTTAGCCCAGAGGCCCGGGGGAAGCTGGAAGCAGTGGCTAATCAGTAAGCTTCCCACTTCTCCACCAGGACCCAGAAGGAACTTGAAAAAGCCATGGCAAAGATCCAAGAGTATTACAACAGACTCTGCCAGGAGGTGACAAACCGGGAGAAGAATGACCAGAAGATGCTCGCGGACCTGGATGACCTGACTAGAACCAAGCAGTACCTGGAGGAACGGCTGATTGAGCTGCTCAGGTGAGAGTCGGCACCAACAGCTGGCTGGGGGCCTCCTCTGAGCTGGAGTTTCTCTTTAAAGAAATGCAGCTACTCTTGGAAGGCCTCTCAAGGGAAATGGGCCCGTGTCTGCTTGCGTTATGTTGTGGAGGCCCTCCCCCGCACAGACGGGGGCCTCCCAGGCCCTTGGCAGCCTTGAAGAGTAGATTTCCCTGCTCCCACTAGTGTTCAGCTGGGGTTGTGTTGTCATAGTGCTGGGGCATTATTTTCAAAATCTCTGTGTGTTTAGCCACAGGTGTGACAGTAAGTGATGTCTCGTGTCTTTGGGAAGCTCTCCAGTCCCTTGTCCCTCTTTCGTGAGCCCCTTTCCCCTTCTCCTCCATCCTGCTTTCCCCCAGCACCAGGCCTCCCCCAACTCCAGTGCCCGCAGGTAGCAGACAGCCAATGTAAGTGTCTGAGCGGGGCCAGGAGGGCACTCAGAAACCAGAGGACACGCGTGCTCTGCTCCTGACTCTTGTCGCCACACAGGCGAAGGGCCCAACTTCCCAGATCGCCTTACTTCCGATGAGCATACCTCTAATGAGGCTCTAGATCAGATCTATACGTTGCAGGGTGTTATGTTAGATCTCTCTTACTTAGCCTGTGATTTGGCCACCATCTCTCTAACTTGTTTTTTTCTTTGCAGTATACTTTTGAGGAAGCCAGGTCATGTATCTGATCGAGTTTCCCACAGCCTGGATTTGGCTGGTTGCATCCCCATGGTGCCATTTAACATGTTCTTCCAACCTTCATATGTCCTGTAAATTGTTAGTTAAAACCACAGCAGTGGTTCTCCCCACCTAACTGCACATTAGAATCACTAGGGCAGCTATTAAAATGATACCCATGTCCAGACCTGGCCCAGACCAACCCATTTGGAACTTATCGGAGTAAGGTGCAGGCATCCGTGAGCCAGAGTTGAGAACCACTGCTCTACTAAAGGCTTCCTCAGACCCAGGCTCAGAATTTTCTCAAGAACGCTTCAGAGAATTGGTTTATAGTTTGGGTCTTTCTTTCAAGAGCCACATAAGATCTGATGAGCCCGTTCCCTGCGATGTTAGCAGCCATGGATAAGCAGTGCCTAAAGCTACTAATTCATTTGGGGTTGCAAACTGGTGGTATTTGGAAGTGTAAAACCTCTGCCCACATCATGTCATCAATTCGCAGACTTGGAACTCAGGGCATTTATGACCTCTGAACTCAGACATCTTCCTGAGGTCTGGGATGGAAAAGCCCTGGTCCTGACAGCTTCCCCCATTTCAGGGTGTGGGTACCTGGCCTCCAGGGGACAGAAGGGATGGGCTGGGAACCAGCTGGGAGGACACTGCTGGTCCAGGGCGTGAGTCGTCCTGCTTCCTGACAACTTAAAGCATCCTTGAAGAGCCAGTCAATTCCTGGCTTTTGTCCTGGCTTTTGAAGATTTATTTAAGAGAAAGAGAGAAAAAGAGAGCAGGGAGGAGGGGCCAAGGGGGGAAGGAGAGGAAGAGGGAAAGAAGCCCAAGCAGACTCTGCGCTGAGGTCAGAGCCCAACTCGGGGCTCAGTCTCACAACCCATGAGATCATGACCTGAGCCGAAACCAGGAGTCGGATGCTCAACCAGCTGAGCCACCAAGGCACCCCTGTCTTGGTTTTTGTATTTAAGGGGAGAGGTCTGTGGCTGGCGATGGTGTCAGTTTCTCATAGGACCTCAGTGGATCTGGTGTTGGTGTTTGGGACTGAGGTGCTCCTGGGGCTACAGTTACCTTAGGATGGTGGCTGGGGCTCCATCTCGGAAAGAACAAAACCTTCCCAAGTCAGAAGCCATAGGCCTCGAAAATGACCATGAGCAGCAATATAGAAGCCTCTGTGCCCATCGGCTCTGGAGCATCGGGCATGCTCTGACACTGCCAGACCTTTCTGAAAAGCCTCCCTCTTCCTTCAGTCTTGCTTCCTGGAGTGCGTACTGTCTCTCTGAGGGGCAGGGGAAATTAACATCCCATCAGACTCTCAGGCGGGGAAATCTTTGGTCTTCTCCAATGATCGCTTGTTACTTTAACAAAGCATAAACACATAAAGGTTCCTGAACACGTTTAAGTTTTCTGTGGGCAGTACCTTCGTGGTCCTCGGGCTCACAGCACTCAGGCTGTCATGTAACCGTGACAGCCTGTTACAGCTTCCACTCCAGGCGACCATGCACACTGTCGTGTGGACACCTAGCAGTGTGTGTACATACTCATAGGCGTACATACATCATGGGCGTACTCTGCCTTCACACGCATGCCATCAGCTGAGTCTAGGGCTAAAGCCAGGGACGGACGAGGCCTGGGACGGACGAGGCCTAGAGTGGGCGTGTTTCCAAGTAAAGTAAATTTTCCTTCCATGTCTAGGGAAATTTGGAATCAGGCTTTGGAAATATCGGAGATCATCCTGTTGTTTTCACGGATTCTTCCTTTTTCTAATGTGGCTCTGTCTCAGGGACAAGGATGCTCTCTGGCAGAAATCAGATGCCCTGGAATTCCAACAGAAGCTCAGTGCTGAGGAGAGGTGGCTCGGAGACCCAGAGGCGAGCCACTGTCAGGACTGCAAGCGAGAGTTCAGCTGGATGGTGCGGCGACACCACTGCAGGTCGGTGGGTGGAACCCAGCACCAGAGCGAAGGTGCTAAAGCAGGCACCGCCGGCAGGCATGGGCCCCACCGCTGTCTGGGAAGAGCACATTGCCATTTGGTCCTAAGGGGACCAGGCGAGGGGGTGTATGAGGCAGGGTCCTAGCAGGACATGTGGGGATCCCTGAAGGGGAAGAGGGTTTGATACAGGGGTATGGGCTGAGTCAAGGGGACCCACAGGGCTGTGGAGCACCCAGAGACCAGCAACCCTTGGCCTCCCTCAGCCTGCAGGGACCAGAGGGAAAGCGGCATTACTGAAGCTGAGGGAGAGCGGGGGTGGAGGCTTGGCTGGGGGAACGTGGACAGCAGAGACTCTCCTAGGGCCCAAAGAAGGGTAGGCAAAATAAATCTTGGTTGGGGCCACGGCAGATGGAATATCGTCAGCACAGGCCCAGGTGGGTCTCTGGTCCCTTAGAGCCTCAGCCCCTGAGGCATGGAATGTACCCCTGTGTTGTTGTGGCAGAGAAGGTGGACTCAGCCACATACTTTATCCCCCTGCCTCCCAGGACGTTGGGAAATAAAACCTTTTCTCCCAGTGGCCGTATCAAGATGGCTTTATTGAAATCTTATCAGATTGACCACAAGGCCACACTCCTCAGTGGGGGCAGAGCCAAGTCTGAAGAGAGCCACGTGGCATCTAGAGCCCAGTGCAGATCACAGGACCCGCGGTGCATCACCCTCACGGCCCGTCTCGTTTCACCGCAGGGTCTGTGGCCGTATCTTCTGTTATTACTGCTGCAACAACTACGTCCTGACCAAGCGCAGTGGCAAGAAGGAGCGCTGCTGCCGAGCCTGCTTCCGGAAGTTCAGTGATGGCCCTGCATCGCCTGACAGCGCCAGCTCCGGCACCAGCCAGGGGGAGCCCAGCCCTGCACTGTCGCCAGCCCACACTGGGCCCCAGGCTGCCAGAGGCCAAGGTTGGGCTCCTGCTCCTGCCCTCTGTCTTCTTAGGTGCCACCCCCCTGCCCCAATCACCACTACCCCAGTGGGGCCAGTTAGCTGTAACAGGCTGAATTCAAGGTTTTCTAAACTTAGGCATTAAAGAGGTGCTAAAAATGTATTGCACCAATTTGAGACTTTCTTTTTTATGTAATGAGGCTTGAAAGAGAATTGAAAAGGGAATACCTTTCTCCTGGTATGATTCAGTGTTATTTAATGCGAGGTCTGTGTACCTCTTAACTTACACGCTACCATTGGAATGTACCCCACACCTTGGAAAATACTGTTTCCAGAGCCTCAGCCCCAATACCTAACCCTTCTACCAAAGTAACCAAAGGCCAAAAGTTGTATGTGGAAATGACCACATCCTTCACCTTCTCCCTGTGGCTCACACTGTCTCTCAGTGACCAAGGAGGATGTATTCTCCTCATCCTTTCACTCTGCTCAGTTAGAGGAAGTGGGATCTGGTTCCTGCACTTCCTGCTCCAAGCACAGTCCTGCAGAGCAGGCCACGCTGTCCTCTCATGGACCAGACTGTGGATGTAGAATACCAGGGGGGCAGAGTCGAGATGGCGGGGTCTCGTCTTTGCTCAAGCGTCACCACCTTCTGCAGCCCGTTCCTATGAACTCTTCCTTGGCCTCTGCCTGGATGCAGTTCAGCCAGCCTTCAGAGATACTGTTAGCTCCGCTTTTGTTTGACTGGATCATCAAGGAAGTTGCCAGGCCCCATTATTTATATTTGGTACAAAGAACTGCTCAGGGATGGTGGGATGTACTGGGCATAGCATTCCTGTATCTTCTTCAAACGCATTTAAAATTCTTTTTTTAATTCTTAAGTTTTGAGAGTCCTTTATATATTCTGGATAGAAGTTATTTATCACATACGTGTTTTACAAACACCTTTTTCCCAATCAAAAATCTCTTTTCACTTTCTTAAAAAGAGCAAAAATGTTCTTCAAAATGCAGAAGGTTTTAGTTTTGATGAAGTCCATTCCATTTTTTTCCCCTTACAGATCAACTTTTTTTCTTTTCTTTTGGTATCCTATCTTTGCTTAACCCAAAGACACAAAGATCTTCTCCTGTTTTCTTCTAAAAATTACATAGTTTAGGTCTTTGATCCATTTTTAGTTAAACTTTTGTAAATACCACAAGCTGTGCATAGAGATTCATTTTTTTGGCATATGGTTGTCCAGTTGTCCCAACACCATTGGTTGAAAGTCTGTTCTTTTCTCATAGAATTGCCTTTGCACCTTTGTCAAAAATCAGTGGAGTCTGTGTCTGGAATTTCTCTCCTATTCCATTTATCCACGTGCCTTTTCTCTCACCAATACCACACGGTTGAGATCACTGTGGTTTTCTTAATGAGCCTTTAAATCAGGTAGAGCAGGTCGTCTAATTTTGTTCTTTATCAAAGTGTTGGCTATTCTAGGTGTTTTTGCTTATCCATATAAACTTTAGAATTAACGTCAATTTCTATAAGAAATCCTTTGAAATTTTGATTGGGATCACATTGAGTCTCTAGATCGAGTTGGGGAGAGCTGACATGTTAACAAAATTGAATCTTCCAATCCATGAACATGGTATAGCTCTCCATTTAAGTCTTCTTTGATTTCTCTCCTGATGCTCATTGTCCCTTCCTTCCTGTGCTTCCTTCCTTCCCTCTGCCAGCCTCAGAAGGCAGGTTCAGAAGCGTGGCTGGGCATATGGAAAGAAACCAGTCCTTGGTCCTGTTTTTCAGCCTGTGTCTCCAGCCCTCCATTACGCAGACCTCAGACAAGAGGGAGGATGTTCCATCTAAAGCATGGCCTGTCCCAGGAGCCCTGCGGCGGGGCCAGCTGGGAACTTGTAGCCCGCATGAACTGTTCTTGGTAAACCATCCAGGACGCTCCCCTGCCCTGACTGGCAGGTGTTACAGCGAAGACAGAGGGTGGCACTGTGCCAGAGTACTGAGGTCACTTGTTTTGATTTCTGACATTTCCTGTCCCCTTGTCGGTCTGCATTTCTTTCTGTCTTTCCTTCTCTCTGCCTTTCTTTCACCTCAGGCCTACCGTCACATTTTTCATGACATAGGCAAGAGAGTACTTGCGGGTGGGTGACCGGCACAGGAGTGCCCATCCAGCCTCCTTCCTCCTGAGTGGCCTGCAGAGTCAGACACCAGGCCCCGGGTCAGAAGCACAGTGGTCGCTGCCACCTTGAGCAGAGGGAGGTTCTTCCCCATCCCCCAGTGGATGGAGGTGAAAATGCAGGGCAGACAGAATCTTGGTTCAAAAAGGCACGAACGTCGTGTCTGTGTCTTAGGGAGCAAGACTCAGCAGCACAGAAGTGTGTTTACTCTTTTTTTAGGTTCCTGCCTGATAAGGATTTGACGGGTTTTTTTTTTTTCTTCTTCTTCTAAATAAGAGGCCTCAGAGAATATCTAAGAGCTTGAAATCTCTTTAAGGCCCAACTGAGGAACCAACAAGAGAAATCTTGTAGGTTGCATGTGCAGTTTTACCTGTAGTCCCCGCTGCTTTTCTGGAATGTCCTGGCAGCCATTTCTCTCGCACCCAGACAGAACAGCTGTAGGTCGAGTGGGCCCTGAGGGCGAGTCTTGGTGGCCCATCCTGCCCAGCAGCAGCCCCTCACTTCCCGGCGCGCCCTCCCCATCCTGCGCATCACTGTGTGTGTCTCTTCTCTCCCCATCTGCCTCTGTGGCCCGGGTGTAGACGCTGACTGCAGGCCGCCAGACGATGCCGTGTTTGACATCATCACAGATGAGGAGCTGTGCCAGATCCAGGAGTCCGGCTCCTCCTTGCCTGAAACACCCACCGAAACCGACTCCCTCGACCCAAACTTGCCCGAACAGTGAGTAGACCTCGCCTTTATTTCCTGCGTGCTCCCCCGAGTGCTGGGTCCTTGTGCCTTCTGATTAAAGGACCGGGAAAGTGAGACTTTGGAAGCAGGATTGGCCGACTGTGTTTAAGGCAAAGTGCCTCAGAACAGTGCTCGGAACCGTTCTGGAGACTGGAAGGCCAAGGTCAGGGTGTTGGCAGGGTGGGCTTCTCTTGGTGCCTCTCTCCTTGGCTTGCAGAGGGCCGCCCGCTCTCTGCCTCTTCACACCCTCGCCCGGCTGTGCGTGCATGCCCCGGCGTGTCTGTGTCCTGACAGCCCTTTCAGCCTTACCCCCTGCTGGCCCGCTCATCTGTTTTCCAACAAGATTTGTGAGGAATGAAATGACCACACAAAGTGCCACCACATTGGAACGTCGAGTCGCGTTTGTTCCCCGGGGACCTGTAGGGAGAGGCCGAGCCCCTCCCCCGCCACCCTGCTCCCCACAGCAGCCTTGCTCAGCGTCTCTCAGCCTCTGGTGTTCGGGCCTGAATGCAGTTTCTATAGCAAAGCACCCACTGTTCAAAAGCCAAGAAAGAATTTACCCACTTTCCCTCCAGTTGGGGAGTTTCGTGATGCTCCTGCCAACACCCACATTGAGATCTCTGTCCCTTTCTTCCTGCCCAGAATTCAGCAAGGCTGGAATTAATCAGCAGGGTGTCTGCTGTGTGGGAGGAGGAGATATATTTAATCCTCATGAAGCTCTCAGGGCAGGACAGTTTAGGCTTAAGTGTACCCCTCCACCCTCCCCTGTTCTCTGACGAGAGGGTGACTGAACTCCCATTGTTGTGGCCTCACAGAGAGCGCCAACACGATCATCCAGCCCATCAGCCCCCGCGCACTGTTGCTTCCTCGGCTTTGGACCTTGCCTTTTCCTTCCTGGAACCCCCTGCCTCCCCTTCTGAAGCACCCCCTGACCACACAGCCCGCAGCGTTCTCCCGAGGGCCTGCTCTGTTCCAGCAGCACTGAGGCAGTCTTCCGCCATCACCTGGCCACCGTACCCCCTGCTGGGTGGGTAGCTGGTAAGGGGAGCGTGGCTGGAGCCTCAGCGACCCCCTGCAGCCCTCTCCCTCCATCACCCCTCCCCTGTCCCAGTAAGAACAAAAACAGAAGGCGCTCTGACCGCTGACAAATATCTGTGTTTTGGTCCTGGGAAGTCAGGAAGTGTTCCAGGGAAAGGAAACGGCCAGCGTGCTGGCCTGCAGCCTCCAGGGTGGATCCGGGCCTGGCAGTTGGGAGCCCACAGTCCCTGCACTCCGTCTGTTGGGGGAGGAGCCTGCCCTCACAGTCAGCTAAGGGCCTGCACCCTCACACACCATCTCTGCACGTTAGAGAAGACCCAAGTGTCTCTAGTAGTTCTCTCATACGTTCTTTTGCTTCCTGAGTTTAAGACCAATCCGAAACACCAGGACTCTGAGAAAGCGTGAGCTGTCTAGAGCCCTGGATTTGTGTAAGCCTCCCTGACAGGAAACTTTGAGAAAGAAATGAGCAAGTCCAAAGTAAGAAGTGAGCCAGAAGGGATTAAGCGCCATGTGTGTCCAGATCCCTGAAGGAAAGAAGGCTGCTTGGCAGCAGTGTTGTTGAAAGCAACTCTGTCAGGCCCCTTCCCTATGCCGGTCGCTTCTACATGTGGCCTTGCTCAGTCCCCGCCCAACCCTTCCAGGCATAGGAGCTAAAGCTGCGGAAGCCTCCAGAGGCCAGAGAAGCCACCCCAGGTCACGTGGCTGTAAGTGTCAGCGCTAGGCTTTGAGCCCAGAGCCCTTCCCTCCGTCCACAGGCTGCAGGTTCGTTCTGAAGAGTTCAGTTCTCTTCTCTGGGTCCCACCTCCCCATTTGCACATCAGAAGCCTGCCCGCCCTCCCCTGCCCCATGTCCCCTCCTCCCCACATGGACACATTCTTAGGCTGATGAAGTTGTCTGCCTCGCCCCTCCTGGCACAGGGAGGGGACAGGGAGAGGTCCCCACACCCTTGAGCAACCGCCCACCGCCCCCCCCCCCGCCCCCGACGTGGTTCAGAGCTAAGATGGTGGTAAGAAACAGAAGCACAGCCCCTTCACCTGGGGAGAAAAGACGGCATTCTTCAGAGCCCTCCAGACATGCCTGTTGGCACCTGCTCCCCACACTCATCCAGGCCCGCCCCAAGCCTTCTCCATGGACCAAGTGTCCATCTGTGCTCGGGACTGAGGTGGCAGGCAGAGACAGAAAGCTCTCGTCAGTCAGTAGCAGGGCTGGGCCTTGGGTCCCTTGGCCGCTGCTCAGCTTCCACCCGGGCCTGGCCTCCCCTTGTGGTTACCAGACAAACAGACCGTATGCCGTCAAGTGCTGAGCCCCGGGCCTGGCGCCTGGGAAGCCTTCCGTGGAGGCACACTGTGTCTGTGATGCTCTGCATGCATCGTGGTGTCAGGGGCTGAGCTGTGTCCTGTACCTTGTCTCTAGTACCCCGGTCCTTCTCCAAGGAAGACCACGCGGATGCCCAGTGATACTGAGCCAAACTCGTAGAGACTGTCCCTGCGCCTTCGAGCCCCTTTGCCAGTAATTGCTTCATGACTGGCCCTTCGTGGTCACAGTGCTTTGCAGGGGCAATGGTGGGTTTGTCACCAGCCAGGAGATGTGATGCCTGCATCTCAGAAGCAACACGAGAACAGGATATGGTAAGGATGGTTAAGGTTAGAAAGCCGCCTTGTGCTTGGGGTAACCCAACATCTCCCCTTTGATGATGACTCCAGAGCTGGCATGTACCTCGAGTCCATCAGCTGCAGGAGCCCTCCGTTGGCCAGCAGAGAGAGAGGCTGCTCCCTGGAGGCCTAGCCCTCGCTCCGCTGTGTGAGCTTCGGCAGGTATTCATCTCTCTGAACAAGTTTCCTCACCTGAAAAATGGGGATGATAGTGCGAGGCCTCCCACCGAACGGTTTTGGCAGTTACCCCAGACCGTGGAGGCCTGGGCCCCCGGAACGGGCCCTGCCTGGAGGGGCCCTTGGTGGGGAAGGTCAGAGCGAGCGGCCCCTCCACTCCTGGACCCCGTGCTCCCTGCCCTCCCGCGGCCCACAGGGGCAGCTCCAGCCCTTACTTCCTATAGCCCCTGTGCCTCAGTCCCGAATGCCTACTGAAGTCACCTGGGCTTCTGGCTCCCAGGCAGCCCCTGGAATCGGGGTCCCCCTGTGCTCACCGCGTCTCAGACAGTGTGGCCGTCCAGGGCCTCGAACCGCGCCCCCGCACACCTGTACCCCATCATGTGCTGGTGTGTATGAGCAGAGTCAAGGGGAGGAGCCCAGCAGGGTTGAGGCTGGGAACTTGCCCTTTATGGGGCTGTTACATGGACAGAACAAAGTCAAGACATAACAGCGCTCTGTAACCTCTGTGCACTGTGCCCGCCTCTGTTGGCGGTAATGCTGTGTATGCAGGGGAGGGCTTGGGAAAATATCTACTCTCGGGTGTAGCAGATAAGGGCCCAGAGATACAGGGACAGTGAGTGACCGAGGATACAGAGAAGGTAAAGGAAGATCCCATGGCTGTGCCGTCCTGGGCTTTCCTAAGCTGTAGAAGGACGGGCACAGCGTTTCTGCAGGGAGCCTAGAGAGAAGGCGTATAACACAGGCCCGGGGTGGGACACGGCCTGATGGGTGCCCGGTCTTGTTTGGCTCAGCCTGGCAGGCACCTGGTTAGGGGGAAGCCAGCGACCCCCACAGCTGCCCCTCTGTTGCCGTGGCCAGGCAGCCCCCAGCTTGGCCCTCCTAGTGCACTGTCCAGGCCTCCTGAGCAGTCCTGGAGGGAGGGTGTGGTCTGGTGTGGATGCTGTACCAGGCTTGGGGAGGCTGAGTGGCTTGCCCAAGGATGCACAGAGCTGGAGCAGTCACTGAGCCAGCATCTGAGTGACCGCAGGGCCCCTGGCTGCCTGCCTTCTCACATCCTCCTTTCCAGGTAGGGCCTCTGTCTCGTTTTGTGGAAGCCAGGGGCTGGTGGCCTCGCTAGCGGAAGTGCTGACCCTCAAGATGAACCCACAAAGGATGGTGACAGAAACTCCCACTTTGAGGCCAGTTTTTTTTTCCTGGTTTTTTTGTGTGTGTTTTTGTTTGTTTTGTATTTGAAGCCAATTTAAAGACGATGTAAGTCAGCCTTGTCACCGTAGAAAGGGCAGATTTTGTTGAGCAAGGAAGCTCTGGGTCCACGTGGCCTGGGGACCCTGGAAGCAACTGCTCTCATGGGTGCATTTAGGCACGAGCGGGAGACAGTAGGGGGGGGTCGTGTGGGCCTGCGCAGCTGGACCAGAGTGTAGGGGACGTGCCACACGACCCTGGAGGCACGGAGCACACCCTTCGCGCCTTGCCAGCTCACAAAGGACGCCCCGCGGCCTCGGTGTGTCGCTGGTTCTCATGCCGCTGTTGCCGTCCTTGCGGCCCTCCCCACGCCAGCCCCCAGAGGTGGGTCCCGTTACGGCCCACGTTTCACCAAAACAAAAGAGGTTAAAGAGATTACCAACTGGTCTAGCCAACGAGTGAGAGCTGAGCCAGGATTCCCCTCCCGTCAGTCCGGACCCCAGAGCCACACTGCTAAGCCCCGTCTGGCCCACCGCCCTGTGCACTCGCTTTCACTGCTGGCGATCGGTTCTCTCCATTTTGGTGAGTGGTTTTGTGACGCGTGAGCCAAAAAGGCAACTTTACCTACTGAGCAGATTGCTAGGATCTAAGAAACATACTCAAGTGCCTGACATTTAGAATTGCCTCATCCTGTGACCATACTGAGGAGGTTACACAAATGTACTTCTCATTTTGGTCAGGAGGTTGAAAGCCACAGTGAAGGAGTGATCACTGGTATATTCCATTTCCTTGATAGAGCAGTGCCCTGAGAGTTTGCAATTTTAACTTCCTATGCTCCGAGCCTATAAGTAATCACTTTTCGGTATATTCCAGGCATACCACATTAAAGTAGAAGGTGCCTGGGGCGCCTGGGTGGCTCAGTTGGTTAAGCGACTGCCTTCGGCTCAGGTCATGATCCTGGAGTCCCGGGATCGAGTCCCACATCGGGCTCCCTGCTCAGCGGGGAGTCTGCTTCTCCCTCTGACCCTCTCCCCTCTCATGCGCTCTCTCTCTCATTCTCTCTCTCTCAAATAAATAAGACCTTTTAAAAAAAAAAATAAAGTAGAATGTGCCTAAGGATAAACATAGTTTAGAGACTTTAAAAAGGTTTTATTTCTTCGTCATGAAAATCATATGCTGTTTGATACAGGCGTATTTGTATTCTATATATACTGATACATGATTATATGTGCGTTGAGTGTATCAGGCATTGGACAATTTGGTTTTTAAATGAGCAAACCCACCAAAGAATACATTTCAGAAATGCCGCTTAGATTCACGATCGTCTTAAACTCTGCCTTGCACATTTTCCTAATGTTCTGTGGACCCCTGGAATCCTCAGCTAATTGGTTTGGGCCCATTCACGTTCCCTGGTGTTCCTCCTTCCAGGATTAATCAGAGAGAATATAAGCATCTCTCTATATAAAGGTGAGACACCCAGCCCCCAGGTGAGGCAGAGCCTCATTTCTGTTCTCATTTCTGTCAGGTGCCTGGTGATTGAGGTCCCAGCCATGCGGCCCAGGACTCGCTTTCATGGCTGTTCTAATCTCCCTGCTTCCCAGTGACCAGAGGAGTCTTCTGAACTGGGGAGCCTGGAGTATCACCTGCCCTCAGCGGCTGTGTGGCCAGGCTCCCCTCTTCAGCGTTTAGTCCCAGTCCCCAGGAAGGAGAACCTAAGGTCTTAAGGGTCACACATCATTCCCTGGGAGCCAGCGTTCTTGGGGCTAGAGGAAGGAAAGCCCTTCCGGTTCTTAGAGCTTCCCCTCCGCCCGACGCACTGAGCTTCAGGCCTGGGGCTTGAAGAGGAGAGCAGAATGTGTTCATGCCCGAGAAGCAGCGTCCCACACCAGCTACAGGGTGGGGTGACTTCTCCATGAGAAAGCGCAAGCCATAAACAAAGCCTCCCTCATCACATCCAGAGCACACAGCCGTGCTCCTGCAAGCTCCTGAGCAGCTCTCCCAAGCCCGGGCAAGGCCTACAGCTGGAACATGCTGGTGGCCTCCACGTTGTGACAGGCAGAATAGGTCTTGGAAGCATCCTCGGAAGACTTCCATTGAGTCGAGACCCCCAGGTAAGGGAGGCAGCCAATGTCCTTCATAAGTTTCCAGAAGTTCCTCCGAAACTTCAAGCCAACAAAGGCATAGAGCACAGGATTAAGGCAGGCCCGCAGGTAGGCGATGGCCTCTGTGACGATGATGGCGTAGTGGAAGCTGGTCATCGTGGCGTACTCCCAGCTCGTGCTGTGGATGAGCTTCACAAGGTTGAAGGGCGTCTGGGTCAGCAGGAACACAGCCACCACCAGGAAGATGATCTTCAGAGACTTGTGCTTCTGGAAGCCTCGGGCATGAAGCAGGGTCTTGATGATGACTGAGTAGCACACCATCATGGCGAGCAGTGGCAGGAAGAACCCCAGTGTCATCTGGGTAGCAAGAACTACAGTGGAAATCTCCTCATTGTGATAACCACAGACGAGCTTGTCGAGATAATGGACGTTGCCGTAGATGATCTGTGGCAGGGAAACCAGCAGGGAGATCACCCAGATTAGCAAGCAGATGGCCTTGCCCCAGGCCATCCGCCTGGCCTGCTGGTTGTAGGCCTTGGTGGCCCGAACCACTGCAATGAAGCGGTCCATGGTGATGCAGGTGAGAATGAGCATGGACGTGTAGAAGTTCAAAGTGTAGATGCCCAGCAGGGTTTTACACACGACCTTGCCAAAGACCCACTCGTGGATGCTTGCGTAGGCCCAGAAGGGCAGAGTGCAGACAAACACCAGGTCAGCCAAGGGCAGATTCATCAGGAACACATCCGTCAGGCTCTTCAGCTTCTGGTAGGAGATGTATACGACCAGCACCAGTGAGTTGCCCAGCAGGCCACAGATGAACACCACCAGGTACATGGAAGGCAGAAAGAACTTGCGGAACTCCAGGAAGCGTTTGTGCCCCTGGCTGCCGTCACTGGAAGTGTTGAAGAACCCGGGCTCCACGTAGTCGTTCTCCTCCGTGGGGCGCATTCTCGTGAACGTCTGAGAGGCAAACACAGGAATTATAGTCGGGGCCGAGGGGGACACCTTCTGTTCTCCTACAGTCCTGTTGCCCCACTTTTAGGGGGCAGATAGTCATCTCCTGAACCCACCTACGTTCTGCTCAGTGACAGCACAGCCCAGTGTACTGGAGACAGCCAGTGCTGAGGGGTGGTTGCTCAGACAGGACGAGGGGCCCTTAATTAGCCCTAAAATCCTTTTTTTTTTTTTTAAGATTTTTTATTTATGAGAGAGAGTGCGTGCACAAGCAGGGGGGAGGGGGAGGGGGAGAGGGAGAAGCAGGCTCCCTGCCGAGCAGGGGGCCCAATGCGGGGCTCAATCCCAGGACCCTGAGATCGTGACCTGAACCAAAGGCAGACGCTTAACCGACCGAGCCACCCAGGCGCCCCCATTAGCCCTAAAATCCCAAGGCTCTCACCCACCTGGGAGACAACACGTAACTCACCCCACGCACAGTCCAGAAAATCCTGTGCGCACGACTGGTCTTGAAAGCAAAGGTCCCCATGTGGTAGAGTGGGGGTGTTGCCTTTCTGGAAGTATGGAATTGCTTTGTAGTGGGCAGGCCTGCCCTCGTCTGCCCATCCTGTGCCTCGTTTTCTATTAAATTAGACCCCTGCTCTTTGTGGAAACTGAGGTGAAGTATCCGCCCCCTCTGGCGGGGGGGTGCATTGAGGAGACTTCTGGAGACCAGAAGGGGCTTGGGGGATGACCAGGACTTGTCTGCCTGGGTAGACAGTGCATCCTGTCTTTCCTTGCCCTCCACTGCCTAGATCTGGATGTGAGAGAAACCAGGCCCAGAAAGCAGCAGGCTGGCCAGCACCGTGGCGGAGCTGGCCGCGGCCAGGGAATCAGGCAGCTGTCCTCACAGCCTGGCCCAGCCTGCCCCTTCATGCCTGGCACGCCCCATTCCACCACCACAGCCTGGTTTCTGGAAAACTTCCTCATCTTCGGGGATCTTTTAAAAAGGAACACTTCCCCAGAAGGGGGCATTACTTTAGCTCGTATGACTGGCAGCTTAGGCCCAAGGGGTCTTCTTTTTAAAAATGGAAGATCTGGCTGAAATGGGATGCCAGATGGGTGGACTGCTGCAGCGGGGCCAGGGGCCAGCCTTGCAGCGAGGCTTGTAGCAACAACCAAAGAGCTGCCTTTCCTGCCTGGGGCTCCCAGCCTTTCAAGGCCGTCCCTTCCCTCTGCCCCGTGACCGTGCCAAGGAGCACAGACAGAACATGAGGGTGAGGTACTGTGGTGTGGGAGCAGGGGCGGCTGTGGCAGGGTGCCAGGCCACTGACCTGCAGATAACTCAGCACACAGCGGCTCATTTCTGGTGACCCAGGGCCATATCCTGCTAATAACCTTAAGAAGTCTCAAGAAAAACAGGCATTTGGTTTAGTGAAGTCAGAATGTCAACTGGCCATTCAAGGGCCTGTCCAAGGAGAGATCATGTCTCCTTTCTAATCTACACGAAGACTTCTTGTCCTGAGTGGAGATGGTATCAGCCCTGGCGCTGCCCCCTCGGTCCTCGTGGGGACAGGGCACGCTTTCTCTCCAGGGAAGGACCTCACCTCTGGGATGAGACTACTCAGTGAAAGGTCCCTGCTCTTAGACTGCAAAATGTGAGATGTGGAAGGGTGATAGGCCAGCCGTAGTCCTCAGGCCCCCCCCCCAGTGGGCTGCTGGGTTAAGTAGGTCAGAGGGGGGTGTGTATGTGGTGCTGCTTCACGCGGACACAAAAACATTCGCTTCATCACTTAGACTATGAAACGAGTGGCCTTGCTTTCCTTGAGGGTACTACCAGATCTCCATTATTAACTGCCTGACTCTTGCCTGTTTATAAGAAATCCTGTTAAAGCTGTTGCAGACATTAACACGTCTCCTCAAAGGGCCCGTGCAGACTCATTTGTAATCGGGTATGTTATGCTAACAGATTAGGACTGCACAGTTCTGTGCAGATTGAGTACTGAAAATTAGTTTCCCTCTGGGCTGCCTGGGTGGCGCAGTCGGGTTAAGCATCTGGCTCTTGGTTTTGGCTCAGGTTGCGATCTCAGGGTTGTGAGTCCGAGCCCCATGTCGGGCTCCCCGCTCAGTGTGGTGTCTGTTCAGGATTCTCTCTCCCTCTCCCTCTGCCCTTCCTCCCTGCTCATGTTGTCACTGTCACTATCTCTAAAATAAGTGGATAAGTCTTTTAAAAAAAAATTAGTTTCCCTTCTAGAAATGTTAAAATCACTCCTGTCTTTATCTTTTATAGCCAAAGTCCTATGTTGATTGATTGCAGTTTTTTAAAAAAGTAATATATTCAACTTTGGAAGCAGTGTAAATGTCTGATAATAAATAAAGTAGCAAATTGCAATTCAGATATAAAATAGAAGATAACTCAAATGTTTAGGAAGTGCTTTAAATGATTCTGGAGAATGTACTACATTGACACGACCCCCAGCAGTGGAAGCACAAAGTACATGTGCACAATTAGCTTTGGCTCTTGCTGTCACAGTGAGCACATGCCCAAAAGGATGTAAAATGGATCATGATTCTTAACTTTCCTCGATCGTAAACCCTTTTGAGAGTCTCCTAAAACCACAGACATTTTCCTCAGAAGTAATGTGCATACCTGCCTGCATTTCTGAGGGCTTGTGAGCCCTTTGAGTCCCTCTGCCACATATTCTGTGGACCCTTGTTTAAGAATCCACGATGATGGCACGCCTGGGCGGCTTGGTCGGTTAAGCATCAGACTCTTGGTTTCGGCTCAGGATCCTGAGATCAGGCCCCACGTCGGGCTCTGCTGGGTGTGGGGAGCTTACGATTCTCTCTCTCTCTCTCTCTCTCTCTCCCTCTCCCCCCCAAAATTAAAAAAGAATCCACGATGAGCTATGTGATTTGATATGTATAT